TTAGCATAGCAAATGGTTTAGCTGTCATCCTAGACACTTTTTTTTTTTTTAATGATTTCTTTTAACCCAGTGAACTGTTTTAGTTTCGTAGGTAAAAATTTTCAAGTAGATATTACAAGTGTTTTCAGTTCAGGTTATCCTTCTGATAATTGTTGTGTGTTAATAGCCCCTCCCTTTGAAAATTTTGGTGTCCTTGGTGCCTGGGTGGCTCAGTGGGTTGGGCGTCCAGCTCTTGATTTCGGATCAGGTCATGATCTCACAATTCATGAGTTCAAGTCCCGTGTCAGGCTCTGTGCTAACAGTGCAGAGCCTGCTTAAGATTCTCTCTCTCCTTCTCTCTCTGTCCCTTCCCTGCTCATGCATGTGCCCTCTCTCTCAAAATAAATAAACTTAAAAAAATTTGGTGTTCGAGAACCTCTCTAATCTCAATTCATCTTCCACCTCTCATTCATTCATTCATTTATTCAACAAATATTTATTAAACACTTTCTATGTGCCAGGTTCTATGTGAGGCACTGGGGATAGGAGATCAACAGGATAACCTTTACATATGCAGTAGTTGCCCCCCCGACCCTTATCCATAGTCTCAGCTTCCATGGTTTCAGTTACCCACAGTCAACCTTGATCTGAAAGTAGATGATTCTCCTGACCTATGCTCAGAAGGTTAGTAGTAGCCTAATGTTAGGTCATCATGTCCGCGTCACTCACCTCCCTTCATCTTATCATGTGGGCGTTTTACTTCATCACAAGAAGGGTGAGTACAGTATAAAATATTTTAAGAGAGACCACATTCATATAACTTTTTTGGCAGTATGTTATAATTGTTGTACTTTATTATTAGTTGTTCATGTCTTACTGTGCCTAATTTATAAATTAAATTTTACCTTAGGTATGTGTAGGAAAAAAGCATAGTATATATAGAATTTGGTGCTATCTGTGGTTTCAGACATCCACTGGGGGTCTTGGGATATATCCCTCATGAATAAGGGGGAGACCACTATATTTTTATCATTAACCAAATAGGACCAGTCACCATCCCAAATAGGTTTTTATGGTGATTTCACAGCCTAGAAATCCCCCCTTCATTGTCTTGGTAAACCTTGCCTGTCCTTCAAGATGTAGTTCAAGTGTCCTCCCAGGGAAAGAGTTCTGTCCCACCTCAGACAAAATTATCACTTCATTTCTGTAGCTCTTTGTATTCTACTTTCATATTAAATAAGCAACAGTCAAAAATAGAAAAATTCTCATTCTCATTTTATAGCTGAATAAATACTCTCAGGGTAGATTCTCCAGACCTAGACAGTGGATAACAGTGAGATTTGAACCCAGCCTGTGAGGCTCTGAAGGCTGGGTCCCCCATGAGAGGGTAGGGCAGACTTACTATGTGGGAGCTGGGTCTTCAGACCCAAGGATTGGCTTTTCCAGGCGGTGTATGACATTGAGCAGCTCTCAAGATTTCAGAACCCTCATCTGTAAAATGGTAATTTGACCTCTTTCTGCTGCATGTGAGATATAAATATGAAAGTGCTCCAAAGTTATTTTCCCCAGTTGACACAAAGAGCATTATGTCTGTACCAGAAGTTTTATGTGGCTGTAACCATAGCATAGAAACAGTTTTGTTTTCTGTATAAAACTTTTTAACTGAAATAGGTACGTAGGGTTCATTAAACTGTTCTTTCTACTTGAGTCCATACTTGAAATTTTCCACCAAAGGGGGTTTATGAAAAAGGCTTTCCGCTTATAAGGTGCCGTGTAATTACAAGTGGTATTACTATCATAATAATTGTTTCTGTAGTTGTCTTTCTCAGCTTTAGATGTTTGCTTTCCTGAAGGCAGGAAGTGCCTTCCCCCTTAGCGTGTCTCCCCAGTGATGACACGGCAGACTGTGTGAGTGTGGAGACCAGTACAGTTCTTGTTAAGTGACACTTTGAGGCCTGGGTCAGAGGATCGGCCTCCAGGCCGGAGCCACCTTAGAAGGGTGCCCTTCTGGTGTTTCAGTAACTAAATCCTGATGGCAGCGGGGGGGCCACAGTGGATTTGGTACAGATTCAGTTTCTCTGCAAAAGAATTGCGTTATAAATCAGTTTCGAAGCGATGCCAGAGAACATTCTTTATGTGTATTTTTAAAATTAGTTTTGAATAGGTAATATGAGCACATGATACAGAATTTTTACTGTGTCCAGCTCTTTCCCTACAGACATAGTCAGGGTCCCTAGACTCTGGGTCACATTCCAGAGGCAGTCTAAATTGATACGACATCTAGATCTTTCGTCCACAGAGTTTGACATTTTGCTTTTTTTCCCCTTTTGTCGTGTTGAGTCCTATCAGTGCTAACAGTTGCCGCCTCAGTCTGCACACATATCCTATATGTATTTATATAGGATTTATATAACTCTCTTCCTATTGATGGACGTTTAGATTGTGATACCATAAACTTAGAGAAAACAAATTTGACAACAAATATCTTTATAGATAGTTCCTGTATACATATACAAATAAGTTCCCCCCTGCAGTGTTCAGGCGTGCAGATTTGTGCTCACTCTTGACAATGTAGAGGATCAAAACTTTTTGATCTTTGCCAATCATATAGACGCAGATGGTCCCCAACTTACCATGGTTTGATTTACGATTTTTTGACTTTATGATGTCACGAAAGCAATACACATTGAGTGGAAACCATACTTCAAATTTTGAATTTGGATTTTTTCCGGGGCTGGCAATGTGCCCTACAGTACTTTCTTGTGATGCTGGGCAGTGGCAGCAGCCCCAGCTCCTCCTACACCACACAATCACGAAGGTCGACAACCGATACAACCATTCTGCACGCAGACCACCCTTCTGTTCAGTTTTGGTACTGTACTCAATAAATGACATCAGATAGCACTTTCTTACAGGCTTAATGTTAGAGGATTTTGCCCAACCTTAGGCTCTTGTAAGGTAGGCTTGGTTGAGTGTGATGTTCAATAAGGAATATTAAATGCATTTTCTGCTTAGGATATTTTCAACCTATGATAGGTTTTGAGGATGTAAACCCATCATAAGTTGAAGATCTGTTTAATGTTTTCATCTGTACCCTGACTTAATGTGTTTAAAACCCATTGGTTGGGGAGTGACCACAGAGGCATTCAGGTTTTCTATTTAGGGTGATGGTTGCACAATTTTGGTGAATACACTCAAAACCACTGAATTGTGCACTTTAAAGAGGTGAATTTTGTGGCGTGTGAATTCTGTTCTCGCCAAAGCTGCTATGTAAAAAAAAGGTATTCATCTTTTCTGCAAACTGACTTCATTTCCTTTGTTTTTCTGTTGCTCTTTCTCTTCCAGGAAACTGTTTTCAGTCTTTGTTGTGTTATATGCCTTTTTTCCCCTTGATGACCATTTGCTCTTTTGATCTTGATTCCTTGATTTTGCTCTTTTCTAGCCACATGGAAAATTTTCATGTTTATATTTCCTCTTTTTTATATATTTAAATCTTTGATTTAGTTGGGACTTATTTTGCCATAAGTTGTGAGAAAGGGATGTAGCTTTTTTTCTCTCAGATAATACCCAATTTTCCCTGTACTGTTTTTTAAAAAGTAATTCATTTTACCCCAGTGATTTAAAATAACATTTTTATCATATACTGAGGGTTTTTTTTATATATTAGAGTCTAATTTCTGGACTTTTGATTCTGCCCTGTTATTCTGGTTGTTTCCTGTGCTGCTACTATACTGTTTTAATTACTTTTATTATAAAGGTTTAGTCAGGGTTTTATTGTTTAAAAAGTTTTCCCAGTCAAAAAAAATATTTTTGCCCGATCATTCTTGATTGTTTTCCCCTAATGAACTTCAGAAACAGCACTTAAGGATTTAAGAATACTTAAATCTTGAGGGGGCCTCAAGGGGCACCTGGGTGGCTCAGTCAGTTAAGCGTCCAATTCAGCTCAGGTCATGATAGTTTGTGACTTTGAACCGCACATCGAGTTCTGCGCTGGTATCACAGAGCCTGCTTGGAATTCATTTCCACCCCCCACCCCGCCTCTCTCTCTCTCTCTCTCTCTCTCTCTCTCTCTCTCTCTCTCTCTCTCTCTCTCTCTCTCTCTCTCTCTCTCTCTCTCTCTGCCTCCTGTGTTCATGTACATACACACACACTCTCTCTCTCCGTCAACAATAAACATTAAAAAAAAATAAAGAATACTACTGATATTTTATGGTTATTATATTAATCTATAGATGGAATTCACCCATCTTTACCCATTCTTTCCTGTTATCATTATTATTATTATTATTATTGTATTATGTCTGCTCATGTCTTCGGACCAATGTTAAATAATAGTGATTATAGTAGAAATTCTCAGATGCCTCCTTGTGTTTAATAGGCATGCTTTGGGCATCATATATTAATGTTCATAAGTGAAATTAGTCTGTATGGTTCTTTTGGTTTCACTCCCATGTTTGGTTTTATTCTCTAGAAATAATTTCTAAACTTCCTTTTTAATTTTTTTACTCTGTGGAACAATTTTAGTACTATTGGTTTTACTTAAAGGTTTGGTGGTAGAATTCATCTGTGAAATTGAATGGCGCTCTTAACTTTTGGGGGTAGTTTTTAGAGACTTATTCTACTTCTTTATTTTTTTTCAAGTTTATTTATTTTGATAGAGAGTGTGCCTGTGAGCATGAGCGGGGGAGGGGAGAAAGAGAACTCTAAGCAGGCCCCATGCTGTTAGCACAGTGCCTGACTGGGGCTCAGTCTCATGAACTCGTGAGATCATGACCTAAGCCAAGATCTAGAGTTGGACGCTTAACTGACTGAGCCACCCAGGTGCCTTAAGACTTATTTTACTTCTAATATAATCAGTCTGTTTTCTCTTTTGGGACCAGTTTTCCTTGAAAATTAAACATTTTTGGAAGTTTTGGGATGGTTATATGTGGACAGACTGTAGTATTCTTCTATTTCTCTTAACCTTTTTCTGTGTCTTATTTTGTGTTCTTCATATTGACTTTTTTTGTTCTTTCCTCCAGGAACAGGAAATATAGTGGTCATTATGGTTAGCTACCCAAAAGGAAGAGAAATTATGGATCTGGTGCAGAAAGGCATTGCAGTCAAAATGACCATAGGAGTTGGCACCCGTCATGTGCAGGAGTTCATCAGTGGTCAGTCTGTGGTATTTGTGGCCATTGCCTTTATCACCATGATGATTATCTCGTTAGCCTGGCTGATATTTTACTATATACAGCGTTTCCTATACACTGGCTCACAGTTTGGAAGTCAGGTAATTATGGATAATTCTTTTTAACTTTGCTTTTTAAAAGATAGCTCATAAATATTTCTCATATATATTGTCTTTAAGTTATATTTGAGGTTTTTTTTTTTGGACCATATTCTTAATTTCATTTTCACTCATACTGTTTAATTACTACACAACTTTTTGAAAATAACTTTTTAATTAGAATATATTAAATTTTCTGTTCTGTAGGATATTAAATACCTTTAAATGGGGTCACTTTTTGCATATTTTGCTCCTGCAGATACCCTCTTTGCCTTTTTCAGACATAAAGGGGTAATAAATAGGCCTGAGGTAGAGTGGACCTGGTTCTGTGTTTAAAATATAAGAACACTGGGCCTGAAGGCCAGGAGCAGAGTGGGAAGGCCTTCCCGGCTTCCATTGTGGGGCAACTTTCAAGGCAGTTTTTCTGCAGAGAGACAGTGTCTCTGTCACAACAAAGAGGAGGGCAGTAAAAGAAGAGCCAGAGGCTTCCAAAGACAGGACTTTGAATTTCATGCTTATCCTGTTGTCTTGAAAAGCCACCCTGTCTGGCTTTGGTAGTCGTCTGGCATCTGGTAGTTGTGTCTGGGTCATCTGGCACCTGCTGCATAGGAAGCCGCCTTCATTTTAGGGACAGATGTTAATATATTGATGAATATGTGGGGCCCCCATCCTCAGCTTACTCCTCTCTTGCCAACATTTAAACGTGAGAATTGGTTTCTTCCCCAGACATGGAGTTGAAAATCAGTATTCTTGATCAAACATCTCTTTAAGTTATATATGGCTATTTTATACATTAGGATGTAAATATTAGTTTTTGTTATTTTCATTGTAGTCATTCAACTTTGTTTTTTAAGTGAAGCTTTTTCTATAAGCTTATGTAAATTTTTGAAAATAGTGACTTAAAATTTTTAATGATGATATTTTTCCTACCTAAGAGTCATAGAAAAGAAGCTAAGAAAATTATTGGCCAACTTCCACTTCATACTGTAAAGCATGGAGAAAAGGTAATATTTTCATGAGGTTTTTTTTGTTTGCTTCTTTTAAAGTATGTATCTGTTTATATGTCTAAGTAAAACTTTCCATTCTGTTAAACTCACCTTGACCATGTGGAGTTTTGGCTGGTTTGAGTTAGAACTAAGTTGCATACATGTTTCATTTTGGAGAAGGGTTGGCAGAAATACTCCTTTGCACATGTGAAGAGCCTTCCAGACCTGTGCCATCAGATAGGGTAGCCTTTAGTCATAGATAACTATTATAATTTAAAAGAATGAAATTGAACTTACAATTCAATTCCTGAGTCACACTAACTACATTCCAAATACTCAAATGGCCCCATTGGCTGGTTGCTACCATACTGGATAGGATCGGTATGTTCATTTGCTAAGAAAGTTCTTCCTGTTGGTCAGTCACAGATGACTCTAAGGAACCTAAAGAACTTCAAGTTCCGTTAGACTATAGACCTTTGATAGTTTAAATTCATTTCTGTTAAATCTGAGGCTGTGTATCCATTCTCTCTGATTCCCTTAATTGCAGGGAAAAAATACTGGGATTTGTGGAGAGGGGGAGAACAGATGTACTTAAAACTACTTTTTAAAAAAAGAAAACATTTTGACATGGCCAACATGAGACTGAAAAGGTCAAAATCATACCAGAGTTTTAAAGCATTTTTGGAATAGGACAGATCCTAATCTAGAACCTCAGATTCTAGAGGATTGATTCTTTAAAAGGAAAACAGTTGCTAATGAAGTAGTATTCACTTTTTTATTTGTCTGTCTTCTGTGCTGTAAAGTGTGGATAACCATGTTGACTTGTTGGTTGACGTGGTTGGTTCTGTTGTTTTTTGTTTTTATCTTTGTTTTTGTTTTTATCATTTTTTTAAATTTTATTTTTTTAATTTACATCCAAATTAGTTAGCATATAGTGCAACAGTGATTTCAGGAATAGATTCCTTAATGCCCCTTACCCATTTAGCCCATCCCCCCTCCCACAACTCCTCTAGTAACCCTCTGTTTCTTCTCCATATTTAAGAGTCTCATGTCTTGTCCCCCTCCCTGTTTTTATATTATTTTTGCTTCCCTTCCCTTGTGTTCATCTGTTCTGTGTCTTAAAGTCCTCATATGAGTGAAGTCCTATGATATTTGTCTTTCTCTGACTAATTTCACTTAGCATAATACCCTCCAGTTCCATCCACTTGGTTGCAAATGGCAAGATTTCATTCTTTTTGATTGCCGAGTAATGCTTCATTGTATATAGATACCACTTCTTTATCCATTCATCCATCGATGGACATTTGGGCTCTTTCCATACTTTGGCTATTGTTGATAGTACTGCTATAAACATTGGGGTGCAAGTGCCCCCTTCGAAACAGCATCCCTGTATCCCTTGGATAAATACCTAGTAGTGCAATTGCTGGGTCGTAGGGTAGTTCTATTTTTAATTTTTTGAGGATCCTCCATGCTGTTTTCCAGACTGGCTGCACCAGTTTGCATTCCCACCATCCGTGCAAAAGAGATCCTCTTTCTCCGCATCCTCGCCAACATCTGTTGTTGCCTGGGTTGTTAATGTTAGCCATTCCGACAGGTGGGAGGTGGCATCCAATTGTGGTTTTGATTTGTATTTCCCTGATGATGAGTGATGTGGAGCATTTTTTCATGTGTTTGTTGGCCATCTGGATGTCTTCTTTGGAGAAGTGTCTATTCATGTCTTTTGCCCATTTCTTCACTGGATT